ACCAGAGCCGGGTCGCGCCGGAGGAGGAGACGCGGCCGTGGCCTGGGACGGCTCGCCTGGGAGCGAAGGTGACAGGTCCTGGCAGGGGCTGCGCTGCGAGTCACGCGATCGCCAGGACTTGGAAGCTGTACAAACGATGGAGAAATGAATAAATTACAGTGTGTAAAACTTAATCTCTCATTTCCTGACCTCAAAAAATGTAATTCCGTTGCAAAGACAGAGTGCGGATTTAATTGAATAAAAGTGTGCGCAGTGGTGAAGAGTCATATGGTAACCAGGTCAGTCCTTTCAACATTGTGTACAGCAGCCTCCAGATTTATTCGTACCCTTGATGAACCACGTGTCAAAGATAGTTACATATATTTCTAAATGCCTGATGTTCACATTGATTTTTTCCCTGGGACTTAGCAGTTTGTGAGCTGCTTGGCCTCAGTAGCCTCGAAGAGGCAAGCCACTAACTTTCCACCACTCCTGCTGCGCATGTAGCAACTCTCCAGCAGAAGCCCGCTTGAGATCTGCTTTCTTCAGCTCATCCCATATACAGTACATAACGGTTCATCCTCTCCAGGTGTGTGAAGAAGGAGGCTCCACAGCTGCAATGTTGTCCCTCTTTTCTTTTACATTTAAGACATTTTATCCTGGTGAAGCCAAAGGTTTCTGAAGGAACTACTTTTCTGCTCTCACGTTCGTTTGAAACCAGTCTCCCATCGTCCTCCTGGTGGGGCAGAAACCACCCTGTTAGTCTTGAGTGTCTTGGTGACGGACGGACTCCACAGGAGAAACTGGGGCGTCTGTGGGGTCCTCTGTAGCCGAGACTGGAGCTGCAGAGGTTGATGACTTTGACCACCAGAGAGCTCTCTGACTTGAACCGTGTTGAAGTGGTCTGGTGTGCTGTGCTGCAGTGTTTAGCCCGGTGGAAATTTCCAAAACCTTCTCTAAACCTTCCGAGGCTTTGCAAAACTACCGGATGATCCTCAACAAAATCTTTTGATTGTGTTTTTAGAAATCTAGGTACAGTAGGTAGTGTTCATGAATAGCCCATGAATAAATTCAGAGAAAACGTTAAAAAACTCAGCAGCTGGTGTCTCTGAATCCAACATTTATAGAAAGTTTTTCAGGGTAAAATAGGCCATCCTTTCAGGGCATGTCAATTATGTTTACAAAAAAGCAGTTCTTGAATATTAGCACTTAAAATGTTTTCTACATGTTTCTCAATCTTTTTTTTCTGTCCCTGTTTTCTAGTCCTTGAGTGGTTTTGCCCTTGTGGTGAGCACAGATGGAATGATATTTTATGCCTCATCCACCATTGTTGACTACTTAGGCTTCCATCAGGTATGTATTTTTTATGAGCTCTGTTTTTGCATTAGGTTCAACAAGGTGAAACTCTTTAAAACCAAAATCCAGTGTGGAGCAGTCGTTAAGGATCTGTGTATTTAATGCCAATTCTATGAGTTCAAGTCCTGGGTGAGTTACTGGTGTAGTACCCTTGAGCAAGAAAATTCACTCAGATTGATTTGGTAATATCCCCTGCTGCATTAGTGTGCATAGAAAGCATCCAACAAATGAATTAATAATAATCACACAGAAACTCACATGGAAATCAATCACAATTCTACAGGCATAGATGCAACCCAAGAATGATTTTTAAGTAAAAAATACCTTTGATAAGAAACAATTTAGTGTTAATAAATGCAAACTTGTTTATACAGAACACACAGAACCATGATTTGAAACTTAAGAAATGTGACAAACAAGTTTGTCCCCATCTAAGCCAAACCTGCTTGTAAGTAATGAATCTGTGTACGTGGATGCTTGCTCCTAGCCAGCAGGTGCTCTCTTGTTCAGATGTAATTCTAATCGGATCTGTACACATGACCTTTGCCACAGAAGGGTTTCCAGTGTCCAAGAAAGCTGGAGCCTGTTTCTGCACTTTCTGTCCTCATCTAGAGGCAGTGCTGATGGGTTCATATTTTCAGTCCTTCACCTTTGCGAGATGCAGGAGCTCACCAAGGGAAAATTTATTGACATGGCTCATTCTGAAGAAAGTTCTACTTTTAATAATACCAGGATAGAGGAGGCTGATGTCTTACAGGTAGCACTTAACATTAACCAATCTCCAGGGCCTGATGGTATTTTCCTGAAGGAAAGAAGAAATGTTACTCATAGGCCATTATCAAAACTCTTACGGCAACCACTCAAGATCCATTGACTGGAAAATTGCTCATGCAGCACCCACCCATAAAAAAGTGGGTCAAAGCCAAACCAAGGAACTATAGATTTCCTTTCTAACTATATGTAGTCTAACTTCAACTACATATAATGTTATAGAAACAATATTTAAAATGACAGGATTGCCTCTCTGGGAATAGAATTCCAGTAGAATAGTCAGCGTGGATCTGAAAGAGGTAGAGAGAAATAAACCATTAATGTAATTTACCATTTCAGATTGGAGGGGTGGAGCTGAAAAAAATAATCTCAGTTTACCAGCAACAAAGCTTTAAATATACTGTAGCAGGAACAGACTGCAGTGAGATTTAATAGTTCAAGTGAGATTGTTCCTGGTCTCCAGGTCAGGACTGGGAACCACTGTTCTAAATGGTTGTGTTTTTAGAGATCGAAGTGGACCAGGTCCTTTCGTTGTGTGTAGGTTCCAGTGAGTGGCGTGATCTTGTGTTGGAACACGTGCTCAGACAGATGTGAAGTTTACCGTAATCCTGTGACGCTGCACAGCACACAGTGGAACACTTTTCCAGTGGAGAAGGATCACCTCGCAGCTGCTGGAAATTGAAAGCACAGCTCCTGATCCTGCTCCATGGCTTCCTGCCTGTCAGACTATGCTGTTTTCAGTAAAAGCTCCCTGAACTCTGCTGAGCACAGAGGCAAATGGCAGGTCAACTTTTTAAGGATTGTTTTTAAGGATTTGAGGTGTTTTTCTAAGGTCATGAGTTCCGTACAGTGCTACAGTACATTCAGTGAGTGTACATTGTTGTGGCAAGGATGGAGCAGACTGCAGTCTTCTGTATGCCTTTTAATTATTGATTTTATTAACTGGGGTGTCTGTCCATTTGTGCTGAGATAATCCCACATCCTCATGAACTAAATCGTTTCCTAAACTGACCAGCTTTTTACAGATCACAAACCACATTAAGACATCTGAACGTAGTTTGGATGCCTTTTTTATGTTGTTTCGTTACATTATGAAGAAAGTGCCCTTTTGTGTTTCACACAAACAGATACCTAGAAGACAGCTTACTTCAGTTTGTCATTTCTTCCACTGTTTATGTATCACCAGTGTACTTGGATGCATGGGCAGCTGTTTCTGTGTGATTTGACCATGTGGGAGTGGTGATTTGTGCCTATATTGACACTGGTCACAGTTTCTCATACTTTACGAAAGTCAGCAATTTGCTTGGGGAGACAGAAGGGTTGTTATACAGTATGTGTGCGTATGTATGTGCTTGAAGACCCAGGATTATTCATTATACAACATTATTACAGTCTTTCATTATTGTGTTTAATTGACAACAAACACAAACTGGAGATTGCCAAACACACAGGTCCCTTTTTGTCTGATTTTTGTCACCCACATCGCTATGTGCAGTACCTCCTGTGTTTTAAAACGCTGTGTGTATTTTTCCTTCCTAATCTTCCTAGATGTTGAAATTGTATGAAGTCTGTAAGATGTCCAAGAGAGATTGGTGTTAAGTTTCTATTTTGTGTTCTTTCTGTTTTAGTTTCTGATCCTATCACATCTAGCAGTTCCAGTTTGTTTTTTGGACTATTTTAGTGTGCTAGACTAAAGGCTGTCTTTATGAAATCTTCCATAGAATTCAGTGCACATGAATAAAGATTTATAAAAACCCTCATACTACCACATTTTTCTTACTCTTGGTTTTGAGAGATCTTCAGTGTTGCAAAACAATCCCTGCATTAAGTCCTGTGACAGACTGCTTACATCTAATTAATTTGTAAATACATACAATTAATGCTGTATTTTGAATGTTATGCTCGTTAAAAAAATAACCAATAAGGATATGTAGTATACTGACAAAAAATAAGATCACAGCCTAAAAACTGGGTTTTTGGTTGTGTTAGTACCCCAGGTTACTTCTATATTTACTTAATATATAAAATATAGAGTATGTATAAATATGTTCAATTTATTTACAGAAAATATAGTGAATATTTATATTGAAAGTTGTTGATAATTGAATTAAACAGCAGCAACATATCTGGAAGCTGTGTTTGCTGTTGTTTTACAAAACCACAGACTTTCACAAACATTTGTGACACCCAAATAAAATAAATGAAATATGTAAATGGGACACACATGACCAAAATGATGCTTTAGAGCCACGCCACAATAAAGTACAGAAATTCTGCAGAAAAAGCACTTTCTTTTGATGCGATGTGTTAGTTTGTAATTATCCTTTGAAGAACAGGATTCTCCAGCCAGGAAAAATATTGCTTATTCTTTTTTACAAGAGAATCTCACACAATAGTCACTTGATCCGCCTGCTGTTGGGAGTTTGAGGTGGTTCCAACTATTGGTGGCTCTGCCATGTGTTTAGGTTCTAGGATTGTTTTGCAAGGCAAATATTCAAACCCTTGCGTGCCTCCGATCTGGAAATTATGAGGAGGTTAAATATTTCAGAAGGAATCTGTCATTCATGACAGAAAGCAAAGCTAGCGCTGGAAAGAAAGAGGAATTGTGAATCCGGGATGAGTTGCAGGAATTTGCATCAGACCGCGGACGTGGTCCTTGGTACTCAGTGTCACGCAACGAGTGACACAAGTCAGACCAAAGTGGCCTTTCTCTCCTTTCCAGGAAAAGTGAGCTTTTAATTGTATAGACCGTATAACATCTGACATTAAAGGCTCCTACAGTATATAAACAAGGAGGGAAACGTCCTGAACCGCTGTAGCTATACGTCAGAAAGACTTGAAGAATAAGTAACATTGCGAGTTTAGTTTATTTGTGTCAGATATACATAAAAATGACCTCATGTTCAACACCCAGTTAAAATATTCGAAAATAAAATAAACCATACAACTGAAGTCTTTACGAGTAAAGTACACCGATTTTCAGTTCTAATGCTTTTGTCATCGTTGATCATATGCACTTTGTTGGTAACATGCTCGTGTTAATTAAAACCCTATTAGCTTTTCCGTGTTTTACACAATTTTGGGTCTACTCTCTTCATATGTATAGATGCATCCATACTTTACAGTTAATGACAACCAGTATTTTTGACAGGACCAGTTACTTTTTTCATTGGATTTGGAAAGGGCTTACAATGCAAACAATGCAATGCCTACTGCTAGTCCGATGTTAATGTCCCGACGAATCGTTTCCGCATGGCTGGCAGTGAGGGGATTGATTCAAGTGCACTGGGGGGTTAAAATGGGCATTGCGCATTGTTTGCAAACACAGCAGACATTATTAATGAAGGGCACTGGAGCTCTGGCCCCGATGTCTCATCTTCTGTCCTCTCCTCGTGGCTCATTCCCAGACAGATGTGATGCACCAGAATGTCTTTGATTATATCCATGTGGACGACCGACAGGAGTTCAGACGACAGCTCCACTGGGCCATGAATCCCCCTCAGCAAGTGTCCGGGCAGGACCCTCAGTTAACAGCGGGAACCGGTGTGTATATAATTACGAGGCACAGAAACAGAGAGGCCACTTCAGAGGCAACAGCCAGAGAAGGATTTCCTAATGATGATCTCAAACTACGATGAAAGAAGACTTAATTGCAGGGGGAAGGACAAAGATACTTGATGTCCTGAGCAGCTCTCTGATTTATTCACTTTAATCTAGTTTTGCTAATGTTTCAGGGTGCCTGGTGTTATTTGGCCTCGTCTGTGTGGATCTTTTTAAGTGGAAAGACTCAATAATAAAAAAAAATCCTACGGGAATCATGATCAGATCAAATTTACAAGTGCAAATATGAAAATATGCAGAAACCAGTCATGACAGGCGAAAAAAGAACCATTGATCCTGTCTTAGCTACAGCGTACTTTGTGCCCCTCAGCATTATCAATTGAATATCAGCTCTAAAGCTGTGCGTATTCTTGAAAACAGATGCCGCCCGAAAGCTCATTACACACACAGCGACAGATTTTATTTTAAAAATCCGTTTCTATGCAGAAAGATACAGTATCCCAGGCTGACAATTAAACATTTCAGCAGTACTGCAGCACCCCTAGATTGAGACTGTGGCGACGTTACAACATTGCAAAGAATGTAGAAATGTTTGCCACGTTTCTGTATTAAGCGGCGACTTTTTACCCGTATCGCCACAACATTACTAGGGTTGCTGGGCCTCACTTTAAAAACCAAAGGCTGCTTTCGCCACCTGCCGCTGCTGTAACTTGGAAATAAAGCTGATGTTCTTCTTCTTTTAGGCGAGGAGTTTATGTTCGGCAGCCCGTTCAGCTCCCAGGAGTCGGACGGCGTGCCTCCAGAGTTCTCCTGCTTTCTCAACCGGTGCTTTATCTCCAGAGTCCGCTGCCTGCTGGACAGCACCTCGGGCTTCCTGGTGAGCGGACAGGGCAGGTTCGGCACAGACCCTGCCTCCCCCGCCGGCCGGGCCGGGCTGGGTCAGACTGGGTCGGTTCGGGCCGGGCCGGGCCGGGCCGGGCGCACCTCTCCTGAGTTCAAAGTGCAGGCTGTCGTTCTGTATGCGTGTTTCCAATAACCTGAGGCTGCCCCCGTCTTTATTTCCGTGAAACACGCGTAAAAGAGGTGTGGGTAACAAAGTGTTTATTTAAAAACGCTGGATCTGGCAGTCAGATCGCAATCACACTCATGTCCTTTTTACTGGTAAAGAGAGCAGCTTGATATGGGCAGCAGGGTGAATATTGTTTTTTTTTTTTTAAATAGTACAGTTAACAGAATAAGATCATCCCTATTTTACTCTAACCCCTAGGGATCTTCTGTCTTTGCCTCTTTGAAATACACAAAATGCAAAAGACACAAGCAGCTGCAAAAAAGAGGATTTTATTCCATGTTGAAACATTGTGCACCTTCCCCTTGTGTATATCTAATACTGTCTTTTACAAATTAAGAAATGAATAATAGCAAATTAAAAATAATTGACTATCTTCATATGAAGAGTTTAATGGATTAAGTATAATTGTAGTATATGTCTCCGGGAAACAAAATTTTACCTAATAATACATAACTTAGAACATGTACAGTATGTGTCTTTTTATAATAGTCCTATAATACAGTTTCTGCTGAATACATTATTCTGCATCCTGCTGCAGTTCAGAATAATGTAAAAAAAAAAACATTTTAAAGGGGTTGTTTGGTTAATATCAGTGAAATTCTTCCCTTAATTAAAAGTCATTTTTACCCAGTACGTTTTATTAAAAAAATACTTCACGTTGGTTTGTTGCTTGAATAATTGTGAATGTTTAATGAGTTACCACCTTTACCCTTTTTCTCCAAGAGAAGTGATTAGGATATAATATTAGAAGCACACAGCTCAGGTTAGTCAAAGCTGGGTGAGCCAAAGACCTCTTGGAAGTCCAGGGTTTTCTTTATATGTCTGTAAAATTTCTTAAGTATAATTCGTATTCTGTATTGTTGGGGTTAAAATTCTACTTGGTTAGACTTTACTGCAAGTTTTTTTTTTAATATAGTGTGTTTTAAATGCTATAATACCATTGCTCAAAAGTAATGACATATTATAAAAATACATATAAAAATATATATTTTTTTTATACACAGTCAAGCCATGTAATGACCTCTAGTGAAAGATATTGAAAACTGCATTTATTAAAACTTCCTACAGTACGTGAGAAAATGTTTTTCCTACAGCTGCTTGCTTTTAATTCTCTGACTCATTACATTTGTGTTTCTGAGGAGTATATGGAGAACAAAAAAGGTGGTGATGGAGAGCATGAGTAATTTAGGATAACTCAGTATTAACTGTGGGGCTGGGAGCAGGAGATGGAGAGACCGGACTTGTGTGTAGTCGCTACATTTACAAGTGCCCATAGGACTGACCTGTAGTATTTAAAATGAGTTTGTCATTTCAGATTTCTGTATTTCTGACTTTTATAAAGACCATAATGTACCTAAGATATAAAGGTATTTGTAAATGCACAAATGTTCTGACTTAAGTAAAAACTCTACTGCAGTTTATTAGCTCTTAACTCTTTTGCTCATGTGATTGATTCTTCAGTTTTATCAATTATGTTATTGATTATTGACTCAAATCATTATCAGCCTAAAATGAATGATTTATAAAAGTGCACTACCTGTGATAGAAATGTACTACAATTTATAGTATATTTAGTGTAGCTTATAACTAATTTAATGGCGCTATACAAGGAATTAAGCAGTTACATAATTAAAACTAAACTAAAAATAACACTTTCCTAGTCTATGTAAAACCGTGTAAGTCTATGTAGTTGTTGTACTAAGAACCTGTTCGGAAAAAATAAAATAGATACTGTATGATCAGTTTTGCAAGGTGATTCTTGTTAACTTTTACAATAGTATTCTGCGTGATCTTTAACATGCCTTCTCTGCATGTGTCACTGTGTGCATGAAAACAGTCACATTTTTACTAAATGAAAACAATTCACTATTTATAGGTGCATGTTAGCACATCTATTAGACACAGTTTAAAGCTACTATTAAAATCCCTCAGGTCTACATTGAGAAATTAGGACATTAAAGTTTTGGTTTTCTTTTTTAATGTGATTACAAACATGGGATTCAAATGTACTACGCTCGTTATAAACTTGTTCTGGAAAAAGAATTGTATCGAATAACCAAAGGATGTAATGAGAGAAATGCTCCTGAGTACAGTACCAATCTGCCTACTGAGCAGTGCTTTGTCTAAACCCCCCCGTCTGCTTCTGCTGTCGTCCTCAGACGATGCAGTTCCAGGGCAGACTGAAGTTTCTTTATGGGCAGAAGAAGAAGACGGCGTCGGGTGCCAGTCTGCCTCCGCAGCTCGCTCTGTTCTGCGTGGCCGTGCCTCTGCTGCTGCCCTCCATCACCGAGATGAAGATGAAGAGCATGATCATGAGGAACAAGCACAAGCCGGGAGTCATCACTCCACTGGAGGTGTAAGTTGAATGACTCTGTTTGCCGCGCACGCACGGCTGACAGCGTGCCCCACTGCTGCCGGTGGGTCTCGGGGAGGCGTGAACTGAGTAAAAGCCGTAAAAATCTGAAATCACAAGGAGTAGATGAGATTTGTCTGCATGCGCTGCTGTGCAAAAGCAGAGCTCATCCTGGACGCTTTGCCTTTTGTGGTACAAACAGTAGCCTTTTAACTTTTGGAGAGAACATAATGTTCAAGAGGAGAATCATCTGATGATGAAACAATCCTGCTTGATTGCCAGATAGGAAGAGCTGCTAGAGCACTTCATACTCATGGCGTGCCTGGAGTAGTTGTCATGATGTTTTTAAGGATCCTGATCGATGTGAATTTAAGATCGCTTACCTGGGTTTCCTCTCACCTAAACGAAGCTTAAAAATGTTAAAGCTGTTTTAAAAGTGGAAAATACTATTTGAGGATCCCAGCATAACCCGTTGCTGGGTCATACCAGACATACATTGTAAGATAGGATTGTGATTAAGGATTTTCAGGCATTTGCACCCCAGCACATATGAATATTTATATTTTAAAATTCTCCTCATAAATGTTTTAATAATACAATACTGTATACTGGGACAAATGGACTGTCTTTAAATATTCATTCTTTCTCAGTTACTCAGCCCAACAAGTCAGGTCCCTCAGATCAGATTTAATTGGTGTGGTGCAACACTGGGCAGAATACATATATTTGTTAAAAATAATTTGTGTTGCTTTCATTTTCACAGAGAAAGGAATGTGGCTTTTTCTTCATCATAAAGAGTATTACTTGTAGCTTTTACAGTATGTCAAAGTTTGAGGCATAAAAGACAAAGGTTATGGACGTACAATACCCGCCACGGTGAAACCAGACATTTGAGGGTTTTTTTATTTTACCGTGTTCGGACTTTCATACCGAACACTGTAAAACTAAGATCAAATAGACACATTTGTGCTGTAGCACGAGCAAGACGGCTGAAGTTGACGTGGCTGTTTTTCTCATGTCCCAGTGAATCACATGTCTCACTTTATCCAAACGGCGCTTGACGTATCTGGGTCATGTTCAGCAGAGCAGCAGTTGCTTTTCCACGACCCTGCTTGCGGAGCGAGTGGTGCCCTTCACGGGCACTCAGGCCGGTGCCCCGTGTGACTAAAATCATAGCACTGGTGTCGCGTCGATTCTTGACCAACCGGCATGGCTGCCATCTGGGGTTTGGGGCAAGGGTAGAGAGCTCCTTCGACCAGGAAGGCCAGCGATGATCTGGTGCCCACTCAGCTGTCGAGCCGCTCAGTGTCCAGAGACAGGATTGGACTGGGATGTTCCTGCTGGTGTTTTGGTAACAGGACCGTGTGTCTGTTTGTATGACTGAAGACATCCTGATTCCTTGCAACCCTGGGTTCCGCATGAATGGGTTGACGAAGGAGGACTAGGAAGCAAGGCCAGGGACTGCCGGCGAGCCACTGGTTCATTCTGTGCCGAGCGAGAAGTGAGAGCTGGCGGATGTTGCAAGACGTTGCACCAAATTGTGAACTGTTGCAACACACGTGGGACTTGGACACTTATTTAATCACTTATTTATTCATTCCTATTTCGAGAGCCCTGAAGCAGAAGCACAGAGCACAACGGGTTACAACCACGCCGTCTTTGCCGATGTGACACATAATGCACGAAATCAAAAGTTCGTCCTTCGTAACTGTACAGCGTCGCTTCTTGTTGAGCACCAACCCATCACCCGCAGCCTGTGCACGTGATCCTAGAGAAGCCTTGGCTTCAGTGGAGAGGGACAGCACATGTGTGGTACAGTATGTGGCCCACAGGCAGTGTCCATCTGGACAGCACCCTGGTGAAGCTGCAGGGCTGAACCTTCAGACTGGGCCTTGCAGAGGAGTCCCTGCACTGGCTTCTTCGCTAGAATTAATAAACCAGCTGAACTTGTAGTGCCCCAAGTCCAGATTACTTCGATATGGGACACCTGACCGGGTCTCAGGAGCTCAGCCAGTTGCCGTGCATATGCTCTGTGGCATGACGTCCATTTTTTCTAAATTCAGCATCAGTAGCCTCAGAAAGGGCCTCTTCTGCTTTCCTCGAACTGCCCTAGTCCATCTCCTGTGGTCATGACTACGCCATCGTTCCCTTGCAGCTTGTTTTACATCTCTAAACCTATATCTGTCTGCACTGTTTGTTTCAGGTGATGACATAACTATTGCACAGACACTCTGTATACAGCCAGAGCATGAACAGGGCGGGGAGGGGGAGCAACCGGCTACTGGCCCATTCAGCCCAGTACCCAAGAGTCTTTTTGGAGAGATGCACTGAAACGCTGTATCTGAAAGTGCTTGTGAAATTCACAAAAGCCCCAGAAAGGCATTCAGACCATATCCTTTAGAGAAGTAGGTGTTTTGTAAGTTCTTCTGCTTATGCAAAGTTTTGTGGAAATTCATCTCATAAACTACCGTTCGTATGCTAATACACAGACAGGTTACGCTGCAGTTTCTGAGTACGCTGTGAGTCTGGGCCTGGACTGTTGAGTTAGAATCACACAACACAAATGCTTTTTGAGCATATGAGGGCAGTTACAGATAGAGGCACAACAAATGGTTGGCCAAAGGAAAAAAAAACACATGAGACTGACATGAGAAACCCAAGAAACCAGTTGGAACAATTTCCTTTGCAAACTGCTAACTACAGGTAGGTGCAATGAATTCTGAATTCATTTCTCACTTGTTTAACCTTCAGTGCATCATGCACATGTGTTAGTGCTTCCTCAGGCTGATACATGGGCAAACAGAACCGAGCACAAAAAAAATACACACTGCTGTCCGTTACAGTATATTACTCAAACTTAGTTAAAACAATTGCATGTGGTGACGCCTGGTTAAAGAATTAAGATGTTAACAACAAGCAAGCCCACCAAAACCACACACACACACCCCCTAATCCTTGCTTTTCCTGTGTGGCTGCAGTGGATAATGGAGAAAGCGGACTTCCTGTCTTCAGAGTTCTTACACATGAGGAGCGCTGGGTTTCGGGTGCAGGCTAATGCACAACTTGTGTGCGGGAATGGATGCCCAGAATATGTCATTGTCACACAGCAGGCCGTGAAGTATGTGTCTTTATGCTTCTTAGCTATTCCTGAAACATCTGAAACGTATATACATTTCTTCGAATTTTTGCATCGCCCGCAGGCTTTATGTTCTGTACCGCTTGTACAAATCGTTCATCAGAGCACGAGAAGCCATTTAGGTTTCACAGAGGCGTCACGGAAGACAACCGCTGTTGTGAAGGTGAATGAAAGCCTTGCCATTGCTTTCCCGTGCTTCTCAAGAGAATCGCACTCCCTGTGATTTGGCACATGTGTCCAGCCCTCCCTTATCTTCTTTATGGGGCGTCTCTTGGATTGTTCTCCGATTACCTTCACATTTACTCAATTTTACTGCCGGTGTTGTATCTCCAGTTTCCAGGGTTTGCTCAGCTTTCCGGCTTTGGGGTCTCCCCCTCTTTTTGCACGTTTCGGAGAGAAAGGGCCAGAAATGCCCAGCTGCAGTAGGCTTGCCCCTCTGGACCGTGATGTTTGGACTACGAAAAACCAGCATCCTCATCTGCTGAGCTGCTCAGTGCCCTAAATTTCTCTCTCTCCCTTGTTTTCCTTTTGAGAGGAATACGACACAAACAGCGGACGTACAGCGGCAATTTTGTTTTTAAGATCACTTTATTGGCCATAAACAATTTCTTGTATTAGGAATTTGTCTTTTTGCAGACCCCAGCTTGCTCTCCATGAGACACACAGACAGGGAGAGAAGATTGGGGTCAGAGCGCAGGGTCAGCCATTTATACAGCGCCCCTGGAGCAGTTGGGGTGAAGGGCCTTGCTCAGGGGCCCAACGGATCCAATTCCTCTGCCAGCCGCGGGATACGAACCGGCAACCTTCCAGCCACAGGCGCAGATCCTTACCCACAGAGCCACCACACCACCCTACTTGTGCCCTAATTGACTCCAGTCTGGCAAAAAAACGTTGTTTCCCAGGACCTTTTTAAAATCCTACTTTTATTTATTGATAAGGAGTATGTGGATCAGTGTTTTTATAGGCTTGTGATCAACCTTAGCTCTTGCCTGTTTCTGACATTATTTGCAAAGGTTTTGGTATGAACTTCAGTACGACTCACAGATGCATTTGTTTCGATTCACAGAGAGTCAGTATTAGATGGCTGTTGATGACTGATCGCAATCTTTTAGTTTCAGGTTTTCCTATTTGCTCTTTTCAGAAGATAACTTGTCGTGATGGTCGTAAAATGAATTATTAGGTTTTATCACCAATGTGACTGATTACTGAATTACTGAATATCAGTAGCAACTTTAACTTAAAGAGTGTCACAATATCAAGACCAGTTTGTAATGGTAAACAACTCTTAATTATTACAAAAAGGTGGAAATGCAGAATCTGTTTTGTGCAATTTAAATTAGGATTGTTACAAGTTTTATAAGCAGGGTTAATATAATAACTGGGCCCTGACACACATAGCTGAGGTTGTTGAGTGGTCTTGTGGATGATGATCCAGGATCTTAGAAACTTCTTTGAATTTTAACTTTCAATTTTAACATTTAACACCATTAACCATACATTCTCATAGGCACATAACGAACCTTTTTAATTAGGCTTTAAACTCTTCTTAAAAATCTAAATATCAGCAGTAAACATTACTTTAAATTCCACATAAAATGAGTCCCAGATTTGCTTGGTGCAGTGCTTGCAGCTTTTCATCTATAGCATATAATCTTCTCCATTTCCAAAGAGCAGGATCGTACAGAATTTTCCTGGCATGGCTGTTTCATCGGTCCTATCCATTCAAAACTTTTCATCCAGAGGCCAATGTATAAATTGTATTTGTTTTTGTAACCTTTTATTGTCAAAATCAATGCTTCTTTTGTTGAATCTAACAAAAATGGAAATTTCTAAGCAACTAAATACAGAAAGTGTTTTCATAAAGACTAAACTCTTTTAAATCACAACGACATAGTAATGCAAGCACTGCAAATACTTAATAACTTCATGTCCCATTTTCCCCTTAGACTGTCTTTAAAATAATTTTGGTCTGTTGTACAAAATTATGCTGTTTTGATTTTGACAGAAGACAATGATTTTGACAGATTGACAAACCATTAATGTGAATCTTTGGATACAGCATCAAAATGAAAGTCAAACACAATCTAGTTCTCTTAAGTAAAGTTTAAGTTAAATCTTAAATTGAATATTTAATACTTGTCATTTTCAGTTTGCAAAGGCAGCATATGATGCCTTTTCAATCCCACTATCAAGTACGAAGTGTGGATGTTATTATTGGTGATAAGGGCTTTGATTTAATGTGCCACTGAAGTCTGCTAAGAATTTTTTTTTAATCCTTTTTTAATTTTTCTCAGGTTTTCTTAGAAGCTACAGGCAGAAATAGGAGCTGCATTCAGACACAGACTTGTGTTTCCAGTTCTCACCCTTTCTGTTACCTGCAAGCTTTCATTTCTCGCCGACATTTGCTGCTTCTTTTCTTTCTGCAGCGATCAGGAAGACGTCAAGAAGAAGCATCCCAGTGCTGGCACCATGACTGAGAGTGTGGAGGGGTTCCTGCTGACCTGCTCCCACAGTGCAGCGGGGCAGCTTGGCCACCACAGCTCCTGGTCGCCAGTCACCAAAGACGGGATCAGACACAAGATGGAAGTGTGCAAGAGTGAAGAATTCTATCCCCAGGACGAGCCTCTGAATTTCTGCAAAACCTCCATTGGTGGCCAGAAAGCTCACAGTCTGGAAAACCCATGGGCTCTACGTGTTTCTGCAGGAGCAGTGAGAGCCGGCCACCACGCCCACCACCTTCAGAACAGACTGGGAAAGTCCAGCCATTTTGGAAAACCCGGCGGTTATAAAACGCCCCCGGGCTGCCACCACCTCAGGAATGACACCCCTCTGCCAAAACTCTACGGCACTCTGCAGAGCCCGGGAATGGACGGCTACTGCACAGGCGGCATCAAGACGGAGGGCCCGTACGCGCCCCGCGTGGACGGCTTTGACGCCCGGCTGCTGCCCGAGACGGCCATTAAGATCGAGCAGGATTCGGACTCGGAGAACGGATGCGACGTGTTCGGCGCGCCCCGGAGCAGAGCGTGGACGGGCAGGGAGCAGATGGACAAGAGGTACGGCTACGCGGAGGGCCTCCCGCTGAAGACGGAGGCGGACTATTACGAGCAGTATTCCCCCTGTCAGAAGAGCAAAGGCAGCCTCAGCCCTCCATTCAATGGGCACTACCAGGGCATGGGCGCTGGGGGCAGGCCCCTGAAGTGTGTCCTGAACAAAGACTATACCCAGTTCAGCCCACAGTGTGGAGGCCAGAGCACCAGCTGCGTGGACAGCCCCCTGTACAGGGACAGCTCCGCGGAGCCGAAGGGCTACGTCCAGCAGGAGTACAAGGTAAACTACGAGTTCAAAGGTCACAGCCTGATCCACTCCATCAAAAGAGAGCCGGTCGACTCTCCGCCATGGGCTGGCGGCCACCTGGACGTGACCCAGCATCCTTTACAGCAGCACATCATGCCCAACTGTGTCATGAGCTCCGGAGCGCAGAAGTCTAACCCTTATGCCTACTTGCAGTAAGTGGCCAGACGAGCAGAACGTGCAGGAGGTGATCCTGTGTGCGTGCAAGGCCTGAGCCGAAGGACAGTATTACTTTAATGTAACGGGGGATTTGAGATCCACCAGAGGAGGGTTCTCTCTTCTTTTTTTTTTACTATGCTATCAAAATGCAAACTGTAGTTTTTCTTAAATGCACTTTTCATACAATAGTGACGCAAATATTTTTAGATTTACTTGCGCTCGTGTTTATAGTTTACAATGTGCGCTGCATATTTTACCTTGCATAAGCCTTAGGCTGTAAGGACATCGCAGATAAAGGCTTTGCAACTATTTGTGAATAATATATTAAGCACTATTATTTTTGCTTCTGTTTATACAGTGTAAATACAGAAAAAGCTTACCAATTTCCACTGCAACGCATCCATTAGTATTTATATATATAATGTGTAAATTACATGTTGCTGTACTTTTTTGTAATATGCACACAATATGGTTTAATATGAAGACAAAATGCTGGCAACATTTGATAAACAATTTTGGGAGTGATGCTTGCTGATTTAACAGCAGTCTGATGTAAAAACTGTTATGTTAACAGTGATTTAATTGTGGAACTTTTCCTGCATTCTTGAATTAACCAAAGCAGAAGGGTTGATGTACTATTTTGTCTATATTTCTTTTACATGCTTAGAAATTTTATTAATGTGCATTTTCCATACTTTCTCCACAATGGTATAACTTCAGAAATGAGTCTTTGTTTGATTTGTTTTATAAACTTTCATCACATTTTTCAAAATGAAGATAAAATCAGAATCCTATGAAACAATGAGGTCATGACATACTGTATGCAGCTCAATATTTCTTAAATTAAGTAAAAAAATACTCTTTTCATCATAAACAAGGTAAGAAATTGAATTTATTCATAAAATCACCCATATACAAATGCGGGCATTTCACTTATGTCAAAGGAATATTCCTTCTTATTATTAATTATAATTAAATAATGAATTAATTTGAATTTAACAATGCACAGAAAGTGTTTACTATATCTCAGACAGTGGTTACCTCTTTTGCAGAAATATAAATATAAACAAACAATAGCTTTGATGTTTTTTACAGAGGATTTTTTTTCTCAACATGTGTGTGGTGCTCTGTTCCTAATGGGACTCCTTAGTTATAAATTAAAGCAGAGGCAGATCTATTTTGATTAAATAATGTTATTATACTGTAGGTGTGTCCCTTCACACTTTACCAAATGTCTTCACGTTGTGCGGTAGTCAAGTTGATTTTTTATTTCTAAATAATTAAAATTGCACTCTACTCTTCTATGTTATGCAAAAACCTACCACAAAGAATATCCAAAGGATTGATAGTCTGATATACTTTACCAAGGTGACAAACTCCTTTAGGATGCCAGTTTAGAGGGGAACTTTCCACATATTGCTATTGTCTTGGCTTTCCCGAGTTCAAAAGGGCAAATGTGGATAAGATGTTGAAAATTATACCAGAAAATGGACCACTTCCAAACAAGTCATCCCGTTTCTTCTTTCCAGAAGGTTTTTGAGTCATACTTTCTAATAAGGGTCAGTAATATCTGTTAATGAATCCATTTAGAGAATGCATAATGTAGTGAATGTAGTGAATTTACTGTTAGTAGACAGCTTACAAACATGCTTCAACATGCATTGTACATTTTCCTGGAAAACGTTAGCGTGCGGAAAATTGTAACCTGTGAAATGGTTGTAGTGATTACTATCAAAGATGTTACAGTGATCTCAGGACACATCTTGGTATGAAATGTCGAGCCACAGACAGTATTTATATATTACAAAGAACATATGATATGACAACTCCATACAGTAGTTAATAGCTACTGTATTTATAACTAGTCAATAGACGTTTAATAACCTATGTACGCATTATCTATTAAGAGTTACTAAAGGATTAATGAAGGATGTATTACGGAGCCTTATTATAAAGTATTACTTTTTTTGTTTAAGATCATCATGTGGTAAATGTAAAATTCCATTGACTCTGAGCTTTCTTATGTTTAAGCAAACAAAAACGTACTCAAAAGAATCCCCAAGCAAGAGTACATTAATTTGGCTGTTTGGCGCCTGTTTCCAAAGATTTCAGTAAGCCAGACACCTCACTGAACTGGTCGTGTGAATAATCATGCAAATAATCTGTGTATAATAAGACAATATGGTTATGGCTTTATTTTGTGCTTTACACATAAAAACATGAGCTCTTCTTCTCATGAAAGATACGACCAAAAATAAATCAATCAGCACACAGATCTTTAATTTAATTAAATAATAAATGTGCATCCTCACACAAAAAGCCATGAAACTGACAGATTTTAAAAGGTGAACAGCATTTTTAGTTAAATGCTTGTTTGTTTTACATTGTTCAGGGTAAATGTGTACAGTATACCCCCATTAAAAAACAATTTGATGTAAAAAGGTTGGTTTATAAATCATATTTCCATAAATATTGTTAGTGTGCAGATCAGATCACAGTCTTTAATATTTTTTGTATTTTGTATAAAAATAAATACAAATTACTTTTTTTTTCATTCATTTCCTTGCTTTTGCATTAAAAGAGAGATTAGGTGTTCTCCATGAATTATTTTACAATACTGTACAACAAGACCAAGAAGTTCAAAAAAGTTGAACACTTTCTAATAGATCACACTTAGGTCAGTGATTCTTAATGTTTCAATAACTCCACAAAGGGGAATTATAGACTTTGAGCTGTGTATGTTGCCAAGGATGGTAATGCTTGCCCAGGTGTGTATATTTGGATTGAGGTTAATTCACCTTGGCAGAACATTTCATACCCACATAAAGCTACTGTTTGTTATGCTTCCTTTCAGTTTCTTTTTTGAGCTTGCACTAAAGAACTGGATAATGAATCTTACTGCTACCTAGACATAATGTCGAATTGACATGCACAGGTTTGATGTTTCGCATTTTAAAATCATTGCTTTGGTTCTGTTTTATGTACAATATCATAATGTGTCCAATGTTTTGTATTTATTGTCAGCAACCTAGCAGAAATGTTTATTTAAAATTATTGTCTGGGGGCTTTGCGCTATTTCATATAAGACAAAAAGGCAGAATTTCTAGTCTTCCTTTTCCTAAATATACCCTTTAAGATCAATACATTAGTAAATGAAACAAGCTCTTCAGCTAATCTTGTAGCTGCAAAGCAGCACCTACAATATGTATTGCAGCATTTTCTCAATAATATTTTGTGTGTATTTTTTTGACAAAACTTCAATAAAACTTTCAGAACTGATAGAGTCATTTTGACGTATTGCTTATCTCACGAACAGAGAGGAAGTGACAGACTTTTAAAGGTTGTGATTCCAAAAACACTTAATGACAGTAGATCCTCATGATATTCACTACTATTTGTACCCCAAGGTTTGTACTCTGTTTGTGCACCTTCTGATACACCATGGAAACACAACAGTTTTAAGTTGTACAGCATATCAACAACTCATTGGGCACATACGTTATGTTATTTACATTTTAAATGAAATTAACATAATGTATCTGTCTTTACTGGGCAGAGAGGTTTGATGATCATTTCAGTATTATTATTAGTATTCCTTGAAGAACTTGATTTTAATTCATGTAGTTGAGGTATCTAGAGTAGATTCCTCCTGGTTAAAGAAAACTGTCTGGTTTCTACTGGCATGATTAAAAGTGACTAAGACAGACGCTGCCCCCAAAATTTAGATGGTCTGTTTCAACAACTTTCAGCGGAATAAACAGGTAACTGGCACTGCGCAGGACAGGCCACATACTGGGAGGCAGAGAGTCACCAGACTGCATGTCGTTCTGACCCACCTATGTAATCAGTTTTTAGATGGCACAGCTACAACTCAAGAGCATCCTTGAAGAAGAATGACTGTAGCTCACAAATCTGCATGAAGATTATCTGCATGCTTGGAGGGCATTCAGGGCTCACAGGTTGACAGCTGGGAGACTAAATCGCGGTTCTCTGTGAAGCCGAGAACGTGGGGATGGAGACCGTGGGAGTGTGGGAATGTGGGAGTGTCGCGTTTGCCCGCGGATGATGTTTGGCCCTTTGTTAGACCTGGCGGACGGCGAAGTGTGTGCGATGTCATGTTGCGTGTGGTTCTGAGTGTCTGGACTAGGCAGCAGAAGCACGACGATGTGGAGAGGAATCTGCTTCAACACAAGAACGCCCTCGGAGAATACTAGTCAGTCATGCTGCCATGCTCAGACCTCATATTCTAATTGTTCAGGGCTCCAGTTAAAATAAATCTAGGAATGTGAACGCGTTTGATGACATAATTGTTAAGAAAACTGGAGTGATTAATGCACAACTGTAAAAACAGGATTTAATGACTGCACGGTTTCTGAATGCACTGAAAGCCTTTTTTTTTTCCTCAAAGAATGTTTCCAGTCTTTTATGCCAAGGAAAACCACACTTACACATACATTTTCTCTTCTTTTATCTGTGATAATTGTAATTAAGATCCCTTTAATCGTACCTATACCGAAATGCATAAGCAAAACACAGAAGTGCAATAAGTTCGGTCTGTCACCGTTCTCGACTCGTCAGGTGTTCACTGGGTCTCTCACGAACTGACCTACAAAAGAGGAACCGCGTTGTGTTACAGGCAGTTAATACTGTCGGCGCTCTGGTTCGTGTTGTTCAGAGAGCATACCAGAAGATCACACAGCAATCAATGCTTCTTATTCCCAAGTGCTATAAACAGTTTAAAATAGGGTCATTACAAACCAAATGCGTTTTAGCGGAAAACGCCACCTAACTTGTCTTGGGTGACAAATACCATTTAAAAAGCAGATCTCTTCATTCATTGAGCAAGGGTCTGGTGCCAGGTACTGTACCTCTCACTCGGTGTCCTTTCCAGCTCATGTAAATATCCTGAGGTAAGGTGCGCGGAGGGTGGAGTTACTGTACGTGTTTGCTCATTACAGAGACCAGGATAAACTCCGGCATGGCGAACAGCAGTAGTTTGCATATAAAACTACTCCTACCCCGGCAAAGTGTCATTCCGTTCAAAAGGGGTTACTTTTGATCCCACATGCTCCTCGCCCCTCCGGCTGCCTGGCGGTCCCACTTCTGGGAAGATTTCAGCTGGAACACCTTCAGCCACAAGCCGAGAGTGATGTGTTACATGTCAAAGAATAAAATGCGTAGAGAGACTGCTTGCTCTCACCGCGAAAAGAATCTTGATCTTTATTTAATATTATGAAGTTGAATTACCCCAAAGTCTGGCTCGAAAATGTGAATCCGACTGATTCTAAAGATCCTCAACGCGTTAGGACTTCGCTTCGATCAGATCACTCAGTTTTAGTTCTCAAAAGAAGCTTGCCAAGAAGCAAATGGTACTGTACTGTACTGTACGTAATTGGATTTGAACATGAGTTCCTTAAAAGAATACATAATTTAAAATGGTCAGGAAGCTCTCTGACAAGGGCAGAGAATCTCACGCCTCAGAACATTTCCACACTGAAGATATTCTATGCAGAGATCATTTTTAACAAACATTATTTAAGTTGTTTGCATTTATTGTATTTCTAAAGCAACAGCTACAGACCTGCTGCACCTTTTTAAAAGTGAACCTTATTTATTCAGGTTTCTGGAGGGTATTCTAGATAGCCTCGCCGCAGCAGCTAAAATACTGTACCCACAATTCACCAGGTTCTCTTTTAAGCTGGTGATGCTTAGCCAGACTTCACGAGAAGAGATGGACAGGCTCTGATTTGAAATTTCATTTGCCATTCTATGTTCAAGTTGGGTTTGTTGAATTACACTTAATCCCTCAGATTACAACTGGCATGCCAGGTCAAAAAAACAAACAAACAAACAAACAAACAACAGTACCCAGTACTATGGATCAGTGACTGGGATAAGCCCTTTTAAGATGATTAGTGGCAGGTTTAGGAAAAGAGATAAACATATACATGACAAGCTGACAATACCTTCAATGGCCTATTTTATTTCAGAGCCCACTGTACCACAATTTAATGATTTACTGTCTTTTGGATCCTGGAATGTTTTATTTAGTAGAGACTATCATGTTTTATTGGAAAATACAGCAAATACATTAAATAATGAATCCTAATCATTGTCCTCACTGGATCATGGACTAATAACAATTGATATATTGTACTGTCTCTCCAATTCTCTTGTGAAGTCATTTATAAATATTGTGAATAACCCATATAAATATTTTACTTTTGATTTACATAACCTGATGCAAATATTTCTAAGAGACAGTTATACGTTTGATATTTATCTTCAGCGTAACATATACATATAATGTGTAAATCATTGTAAAATTAAGGTGTAAGGGTTTGCATTACTGTAAATATTTTGCAAACATTATTTTATAAAACAGTCTACAATAGCTGCGTAACAGCTTTTAAACCCCATAAACCTTCAACAAGATTGTGAACCCTAAGGTGTATTAGGTTCACAATCTTGTTGAAGGTTTATGTTTCAAGCAATGCTAGGGAGCAATATTTATCTAAAAAGGAGGTGAATGTTGCAGTTGCCGACACTCATGAGACTCTTTAAGGAGTGTACAGTAGTTTCCTGCATTAGACTCTCTCCCATCTTTTCACCACTTCCTGCTGAGGCTTTTCGTTTGGAAATGAAACCCAAATGAGATGAAGCCCACATCTGTAGGAACAGCGCCTGGTTTGTGACAAATGTGGTGTGAACTCTGATGGGCAGGTCCCTTCACACGACTCCGGGAATTGAAAACTGTGCTCTCGTCGCCTTCTGGGAAGCTTTCCGAACGGAAGAAACCTCCCGGATTCGCTGCAGTCGGTGGAGTGGTGCTGATTACTGCATGGTAAACGAACAGCTGGAGTTAGCTGGAGTTAACGCAGGACAGCTCAGGACAGGGCAAGGGCTGTGCCAAAGGCCACATTTCACATCCTGCAAACAGCTCCTGCCAGCCTCACCCCTGACATTGCTCACTTTCAAGTGAAAACACCACCAAGGACAACAGCCCATGGATTTCAAAAGAGCAAGAAACCTCCATGATGAAGGAAGAAACACCACGATTCAGCCATTGAACCTTCTCCAGGTGTATCGGTGTTTTGTAGGGTGTAGTTAACCTTTTCTTCCTCCAGTACGGAGTAACTCAGCCCCCCCCCCCACTCAGACAAACAGTATTCTGGATTTCTAAGCATTTTAGTAATGAACTTTAACTTAAACATGAAACTGCATTTAAGAGTGCACATGAATAATGGCAATAATGATAGTGCCCTTTGCATTTTAAAAGTATGTTAAAATTAAAAGGTAGAGGAATTCCTCAGTGGCGGTAGGAGCATGAACAAGCTCATAAAAAAACAGAAGCAGCTAGTTCGGGCTAAAGATGAATGCACTTTGCACAGAGACGTGGTTCTTGAGGTCTGTGAGCTGAACTGCTGAACTGCTTAGGAGAAACAGTCTCATCGGACTGTGGGTCCCTTACCAGATGTGTGCTTCTGCACGGCGGGTGTTTCGGTACAGACTGTTACCTACAGAAGACGAGAGATAACACCACTGTCCTGCACAGATGGTGAAGGTCTGGCAAGGGCATTGTACTGTCACCCTTGTCACTGAAACAGTAAGCCCATCCCAGCATTCCGTTCAATGTTGTTGGCGGTTTAGAATCTAATATTGTCGATTTTCTTTTAAAAGGTGGACTGTTACTGATTTGTCCCAAATACAGAGTTTCATTCTTTTATGGGCACCAAGTACTCAGCTCTAAGGTTTTATTTTCTTTTTGGTAGCAGGTTTTAGGGAATTTTCGAATGACATAAGTGAGAGGCTAGCTGTCAGATAGCCATGGTAGCAAATCAAACTACATTTGTACAGTAGTAGAACATATTATGCTGGAGCTCGTTTCTCAGCGTACTGAAGTTTTAAAACTATGTCGTGTTAGCCATAAAATAAAATCGCAGAGGGCAAGTACATGTGTCACTTGGTTGGCCTTGGCTCGAATATTATATAGACTATACTGTCCGTGCACTGTATCTTGAATTTTTGCAGTCTTTGTTGTAGGAACTTGAGAAAACTCCAACTCCCAGAATGCAAGGCAACCCGAATAGGAAGTTGTGGCAGTCAGTTGTGGCGAGTTGGGCGGCGTACAGCGAACCGCGACCGAGAAGGGTAGTTTTTATTTTGTGATCTAGAATATGGGATGCATTTATTAATGCAGTCTGTTTAACGGTGTGTTTTCAACTCCCTCGGAAATCACTCACAGGTAGGTGCGCGGTGAGTCCCTGTTTTTACCGTCGGGAGGAAACGAAATTGTTCCGGCTGTCACCTGGGCCTGTAGATATTTTTCCATTTGCCGTGCCTGGAAACTTGCTGTCAGATCCTGGTTTTGGGAAAGGCTTTTGTGGTTGTGCGTCTCGCAGGACAATCGCAGCACGTAGCGCTCAACAACACGCAGTTCTTCGCATAAACAGACGAAACGCGCAGATGCTAGCAGTAATAATACAAGCTTAAATAAGAAATAATGATGAAACCGATTTGCATACGGTACGTGAGCACCGTGCTTTGACGTTTTGCAAAGAGAGGGCTTCTTTGCTAAACTCCTCAGATGTACTGTTTACATTTACAGCCAACTCTTATTAATTGCTTCGGCATGGTAGAGGTAATTGCTTATCTACCGGATCGAAATATATCAGATTTGTTGATTAATGTCGTGGTGGATTAGTGCTGAAAACGCTGTTAATTCACATTGTTACGGGTGCAAGATGCTTTCCATATTAAGGGCAAAGAATCTCTTGTGCACGCAATTTATACGCATTGTTGTGCGTGTCAAGTACTTTGCGATTGTGTGCACAAAGTAATGTTTGCAATGATAATGTTGGTGTGTGTTTGCAAAGTGTCAGTTTGTGTGCGTACGGTAGTGTTTATTGTGACACGGTAGTGTTTATTAGTAGGTGGACAAGTACAGGTTACCATAAACCCCTGGCAATCACATTGAAGGCACATACATTGCCAAGCAGACGTGTAGAATATGATTTCTCATTTTGTGTAACAGTGTGCTGCCAAGTGCACATTGCTTGCTAAGAAGACAGAATTGAATATACACTCATTTATTACGTGTAGAAATCAGTGTATTGCAGACTCCATACCCTTAACCTGTCAGGTGGACAGGAATAAATGTATTGAAACAGGCACTAGCTGAGAGAAAAACTTGCATGACACTCAAATCAACCACTGAAGTGCTTTGGAACTCTCTGACCTTCTGTTTCTGGAAATGTCAAACTGTTGCGTGCGTTGTGGTTTTGCTTTTTTCAGGCACCCTAGAATTTTGTCCGAAATGGAAATCCTTTTATTGTGCCAAGTGGTACAAATTAGAAAGGTTTGAAGGAAAATCAGAAACCAGATGTAACAAAGTGGAAAATTGTCTTTTTTTGTTTGTTTGTTTTTTTATCTCGGCATGACCGAATGATTTTCTTTTGTCTTTAATCAGGTGATTTAACATTCCTAAATGGCTGAAGAGGTTTATTTTAGAATTCAGACACATGTCATTGTACTTGCTCTTTCACAGGGCCCACACAACTCTAATGTTTGAGAAATATTCCAAAAACTGAGAGTTTAAGTTCTCAGGATGATTGAATCCCCAGGGCCTGACAGAATCTTCTTTAATTGCACTCGTGGAAACTAGAGATGTTTTTCAGAAGCCATGGATGCAGCTCTCCCAGCCGTCCCTGAAGACGGGAAGGAACCAGGGACTGGATAATTGCTAATAACATGTCCATCCGTAGAATTAGTGAGAAAACTGGAGTAAGACGAATATGTTTGACTTCTGTTGCATGTAGGGTTAAAGAAACTATCATTTGACATAAACTAGTGGATTGCCTATATGGAATTAAGTTCCTAAGGGATAATCGGCATAGATACAGAAAAGGTAAATGAGAGGTTTTGGACATTTGGAGGAAATGTTTGTGTGTTTAATTTGAGAATTGTTTGATAGAAGATCTAGTAATTGGTGGAGTACCACAGGGGTCTGTACTACGACCACTGCCCTTTCTGATTTAGAACAAGAATCTAGATTCTGATAGAGTAAAGTAGTCAAATTGGTGCCGTTGATACAAAAATGGGAGGATCAGCAAACAAGTAGTTCAGAAGGGCTGGGACAGTTCCTGACCATAGACTCTGTCGCTAGAGAGCTAGTAAAGTCTGTAAATCTGTTGTCTCTCAGGCCTATCTCAGCTTTGAGAGGAGGGCGGAGGGGTGGCTCTGTGCCTAAGGATCTGCACCTGTGACTGGAAGGTTGCTGGTTCAAATCCTGCAGCTGGCAGAGGAATCCTACTCCGTTGGGACCCTGAGCAAGGCCCTTCACCCTAACTGCTCCAGGGGCACCGTACAATGGCAGACCCAGCGCTCTGACCCCAAGCTTCTCTCCCTGTCTGTGTGTCTGTGTCTCCATGGAGAAAAGCTGGGGTATGCGAAAAGACGAATTCCTAATGCAAGAAATTGTATAGGGCTAATAAAGAAACATTATCATCACACATTATAGCTGTGTGAGGAGGGAGGTGGTTGTTGGGATTGTCAGTATCACTGGCGATTATTGAAGGTACCTCGCGTGGGAACGTCTGTTCTTCCTGTGTCGCTGCTCGGCTCCCCGCGCCCCAGCCCCAGAGCCCGGTCCGCGGCTGGCCCCGCCGCTCATAGCGACTCCTCTGCTTGCAGGCGGCGCCAATGGAGGAGACGGACAGGGAGACGGTGGCCAAGGCCGTGCAGAGAGTGGCCGGCATGCTGCAGCGCCCCGACCAGCTGGACAAGGTGCAGCAGTACCGCCGCAGGGAGGCCCGCAAGAAGGCCTCGGTGGAGGCCCGGCTGAAGGTGCGTTTCCCCCCCCCCGCCTCCCCGCCCTGTGGCTCAGCCGCTGGGCCTGCAGCCTGTTCTCGAGTCCGAGTTCACGTTGGTTTGTCATTCCGGCCATAGACAAGTACACAGTGGACGGAAATATCGTTTCTCCTGGTCCACGGCGCAAATACAGACAGGACATTGTAGGCAGGATACACATCGTGCAAAAAGTGCACATTACTAAGGCAGATACATAATACAATTTACACAACACACTGGGGGGATTTAAAACCTGCTTCTGGAATTGGGGTGGGTGCCAGTAGATTCCAGGGTGCTGAGGAGCCTGACAGCCTGCGGGGAGAAGCTGTTCCAGAGTCTGGTGGAGCTGGCCCGTACACTGCGATATCTTTCCCCAGAGGGTAGGAGGACAGAGGGTTTATGGGAGGGGTCATCTCCTATACTGGAGGCCCTGTGTGGGGCGTTTGTGACAGGTGACAGAAATGGAAGGGAGGGAGGCTCCAATGATGTTTTCAGCCGTTTCCACAATCCGTTGCAGGGTCTTGCGGTCTGAAGCGTTGCGATTCCCCAACCGAACAGCGACACGGGTGGTCAGGGTGCTCTCAGTGGTGCTTCTGTAGAATGTGGGAAGAATGGGCAGGGGAAGGTTTTTGCCCATTCCATGTTAGTAAAATAAAAAATGGTTCTCCTCAGCACAGCCCCGCCCTGTGGGGAGTGCAGAGTTTCGGCTTGCGTGTAGACAGCTCTGACCAGCGTGCTCCCCACCCTGCAGTTTCCTGCGTGGGAAACGCAGAAACCGGCCTGTGTCGGCTGAATGAGGTCTATGACAGGGCCCTGTGCGAAGCTGGAACGTCAGCAGAAATATAAGCGTGGGTCCTGCCTCTGACCGCAACATGAAAATGATTGTCCTGGTCCCCGAGGAGGAGACGTACAGGAGCCTCTGCAGAGTTTCTCCTCGGCCTGTAACGCTTCAGAGCTGTGCAAATACCTAATTGAGCTGGTTGACCTTACTGTCGTTTGATTAATTGTTTATTTCCACGTCTCAGGTCAGCAAAACCCAGAGTCCAGTCTGGCGTTTTGGGCTTTCCTCTGTGCTCCTGTTATCAGTGTGTCAGTGTGACAGCGCAGAGGTGTCGCCGCCCTCTGGAAACACAGATCTCCTGATCGCCGGAGTTATATCCGCTGTGCAGGAAGTGGCGCTGGACACGATCGGAGCCCAGCTGGGGCGGAGCGGGGCTGCGCCTGCCCCGTCAGCACAGGAGGACGGAAGAGGGGTCTGTGAGCTGGTCAGCTCGGCTCAGGAGCTCAGGAGCTCAGGAGCTCAGGAGCTGACCGAGGCAGTGTGGCTCTGGGGGGGTTTGACAGTGAGCCTCCGTCCTGGGTGACATGAAAGGCCAGAGGAGAGGAAGAAAAAGTCACTGAGCTTTCAGAAGTTATTTAAAAAAATCTGCCTCTTTTTTCCAGTTAGTTCCTGCCAGACGCCTTTCGCTTGTTTTGGGAACAGCTTAGGACATTGTTGCAAAATGTTTTTTTTTCAAATTAACAAACTCTGTATCCGCATATGGTTTAAGTTTTACTTAATTGCCTTCCCCTCTTCACTTCTTTGTGCTGAACTCTGAAGTCAAGTTTATCTGAGTCCCAGATTCTTTCCCACTTTGCCTGGGTTCGTTTCTGTGTTGTAGCTGCTGGAATAGGCAAACCTACTCCAGAGGCGTTAAGCTGCTATAAATGTAATATATGTTACACGTTGTGTAAACCCGAGGAGAGGACCAGCAGTTCTTCCACAGAGCACTTCTGTCACAGAGATTTCCAAAGGGTATCAAAATGCATCTCTTTTTTTAGTTATGCATTTGGTTTCTTTATGAGGTCCCAATGTCACAGCCTGTGGTTGCTTTTCCTATGTTTTAACTTCTTGTGTGCCATAGTAGCCTGTCTGCCTGTTAACGTGAAGTTTATTTACTTGAAACTAAATGACTTCAGTGCTTTTGAGGCTGCATGACTTTACGAAACACGGTTAAATGGGCTAAGTGAACAGTTGTGTTTTTCTTTTGTAAGGTGCAGTGTGTTCATTTGCAAATCCAGTCTGAACTTCAGAGGGCTGTAGCAGTGGGCTTTCTGGGGCAGATGCTGAGCAGCTGAAGGCTTGTTGCCCCTTGATAATCTGAGTCTTTCTCTAATATTGTCGGCAAGCATTTGACATGTTCCGTGTTTGTGCTCAGTATGATTGGCTGTCAGGTGACTCCGAGAGAAAATGATGTGCCAGTATTCCATTAGGAATTACTCACATCCCTTTTCTGTTTCCATGCTATTAGCTATGATTTGACTTTTTCCATTTCCGAAGTTTTCCAGGCTGAGATGATTCTGGTTCTTATCCAGAAAGTGTTTTGTGAGTGCAGGGCAGTGTCTCGGAGAGGCGCGGGCTCAAAGCTGTCGTGACAGAGGTTGACAGGTTTGATGCAGGGTGATTTATTTCTTCCGCTAACTACCGTCTTGTTTCTTCTGGAGAAGAACCGTACACGCAGGTCTTTTAGGCATCATGGAGAATTGCCAGACTGCCAAAATACTTGCTAACAAAACATGAGCAGAGAATTTTAAAATAGTTTTGCAAGTTATTTGCCGTGGCAAATAACATGTTATCCAGAATTATACAGTGTATCTGTTCGGATGCAGTGGCCAGTCTTGGGAAGAAACTGTGTGTTTGAGTTGTTAAGAGTCATAGGCTGTTGTTCAGTGTCCGAGAGGTACATTCCCATATCGAGAAGGCTTTTCAGGCTCGGACTCTTAAGTGCAGACTGTTAATAAGTGCAGTTATAAGTTACTTTGACACTTGAATGACCCAAATGCTCACGACTGTTTTAAAAAAAGATGAAATCTTGGTAAAAACCAAAGCTCATTGTGTTTATGTGCATAAATCTATTCCTTGCCCGTTCGGTCTATTGTGAGTTGGTGTTGGTTCTTCAGTCGGGACGTTTCAGTCTCGTCAAGCGGGCGCCCATCAGGCAGCGTGTTGAAGTGTTTCTGCCCCGCTCCCGTCTCGATGAGCTTGCGGTCTGCCCCCCAGGCGGCGATCCAGTCGCAGCTGGACGGGGTGCGGACGGGCCTCAGCCAGCTCCACACCGCGCTGGTGGACGTCAAGGACATCCAGCACGCCCTGGCGGACGTCAGCAAGGACTGGCGGCAGAGCATCAACACCATCGAGAACCTGAAGGACGTGAAGGACGCCGTGGTGCAGCACAGCCAGCTGGCCGCCGCGGTGGAGAACCTCAAGAACATCTTCTCAGGTAACTGGGGGGGTGTCAGGGGTCGGGGGGCCGGGGGTCAGGGTGGTCGGAGGGTCGGGAGGTCAGAGGGTTGGGGGGGCGGGGGATTTGGTTGTTGGGAGGTCACGAGAAGCCCATTTACAGTAGGCATTCAATTCTTGTACATAATCACCATGGTGATTAATTGCTTAATTACTAACCTAATGGGTGAGGGGTTAGCCAACATTCTCCCGTGGGAAGAACTAGGTTTATCTGGAATGTAAAGGGCTCTACAGTGGGTGTAGCTGGCTGGGGACTTTGTAGAACAAGTCTTTGCGTGTATGAATATTATTGCCACAGTAAGGACTCCTTCACACCAGACGTCTTCCAGTCAGTGTGACTTTTATTGTGCTCCTGCGCTGTGAGCCACCTTGTGTAAGTTGGGGCTGTCACAGTGACGCTGTATGTGGACGTTTTATCATTGCATTCAGCTGTGTACAAGGTGAAAGCTGCGTTTAATTTCTGGATTTTTAAAAATTGTGTTGCTGTGTCTGTTTTGTGCTTTATGTTTTTACAAGTCCATTCCCTGGCTAGCATTTTAATTAGTTCTGGCAAACAAGTCCTATTGCATTGCATTTCAGGAGGTGTGTTATTTTTATCGTTAACTTTGTTATGTTGTTTGCCTGTTTAAAAGCCTTGCCTTTCATGAGTGTGATTGATTAGCTTTTGCATGGCACGTTTACTGTACAAGCCCTGGATTTAAATTAAGTGTATATCTTCAAATTACACCTCCTATTGCATTGTTTTCCTAAAAACATCAACTCCTTACTCTCTTAATACCGGCGATGCCCTTCAAGCCTTTACTGCAAAGAAGCTCTTGAATATTAAGACCACCATCTAATAGGATTTGCCCTGTACTGGGTATCTAGTCAAAGCCTCGTGTAAGCCCAGATCAGCTCAATTTGCGTTAAGATTTATTTCACTGGGGGCAACTGTTCGAGAGTTACCTAACACGCTCTTGTCTCGGGATTCCTGTTAGGGCTTCAGTATACCCTAAAATAAACAAAACAAGGCAAAAAATACTTTGTAATCCACTGCTCTTCGTAGCGCACGACAGGGCTAAACAGGCTAAAGGCCACAATGCGTCCAACTGTGACAAACGAATCCCATATTTTAAAGGGGAAACATATCATGGTTGGAGGCAGGCCGAGCCCACTGTCTGAGAGCGCAGAACACTGCTTCTTCAGCCCTGTCTAACCCAATGGGCAGAACCCATCCAGAGTCCTGCCCAGATTGAGTGTCTGACGAAATGATCTCAGCGCGTCTTATCCCTGTGCGAACCATCACCATCAGGTAACACCTGTGGTAGCACCCAGGGGTGCGCAGCAGAATTCCTCTTTTGCGTCTGCTTTGTCCTGTAGAGCAGGTGGTTCCAGCTCCAGTCCCGGAGGTTCAGGCAGGCAGGAGGAGTTGCAGGTCTCTTTAAATCAGCAGCTGAGCACCTGGGAACCTGGGTCTCCCGCCAGCAGTTAGTTCAGTCAGGTGGGGGCAGGAGGGCTGCACCCGCAGGGCGGGGTCTTTGGGGGGGTCACAGTGAGTTGCTGCCCAGCCCAGCGGGCACAGAGCACCTTTCATTAGCGTGATCTCAGGACAAATCAGGTGGGTTTTCTGCTCCTGCAGCAGAGGGCAACACACGACATTGGCAAAAAGCGCAGGCAAACGGTGTTCAAGGCAGATCTCGGCTCGAGACGGGTGTGAAGAGAGCAGCACTGCGTAGAGCAGGGTGATAGGTCAAGGCGTCGAGAGCAGATGTGACTGCAAGGGACTAGACTTTATCTCACAACAAGGTTAATATCTTCGTAATTAGCTTTACTTCCTAGTTGTTACCCAACAAGGTTTTAAGCCAGTGTCTTTCAAGTGACCTCTCGATTGGATTTGTGACATTTCTTGGAACATGCTGATGAAATGTGAACACTGTGATGGGCAGTAATCAATTCATCTAAGCACAGAAAGGCTTCAGGAGCTACAAATAGTCTAAAATCTGCATTTTACTGGAAATGGGTTTGGACTGTTCCCTTGACTTATTCCTTGGAGCTAAATAGTGACAAAACAGACATTTTACTGGTGGGCAGCAAATCTCAGCTGGAAAGGCTAGAGAGCTGCACAGTCATGGTTGAAGGCTTCCTCATTCACACGTCCGCCACAGTCAGGAATCCGGGAACCACACTCGATCCTCTCCTGACTTTTGAGCCCCACATAAAACAAAATCTATGAAGGCTTCTTTAATTCACTTTAGAAATACCGCGTGCATTAGGAAATTTCTATCAATTTTAATGTATTAAATATGAAGTGAGACGACGGAAGACACTGTATGTCTTGTAAATTAACTGTAAGGTGCATTTGAAAGTTAAATTAAAGGAAACATCATATGCAGCACTATGTCCTGTAGTTTGGACCAGGTTTATACGAAATGTTGTTTTTATTGCGTACTGTTTCCACGCCTGGTTTCTGCTCTTTCAGCCGCACTGTGATCCTTCACAAAACCCACAGCAGCTCTGTACGGTCCTTCTCGGTGTTCGCCCCCGGCAGCGTGGCTCGTGGTCTTGACTTGCGGTGCTCTCGGTCTCTCCCCAGTGCCAGAGATAGTGCAGGAAACCCGGGTGCTCATCGAGCAGGCGGAGCTGCTGCAGGCCCACCGGAAGCTCATGGACCTGGAGTGCTCCCGGGACGACCTCATGTACGAGCAGTACCGCATGGACAGCAGGAACGCGCACGACATGAACCTCATCTGCAACTACTTCGGGGAGGTGCAGACCCTGTCGGAGGAGCTGGCCAAGCAGCTCTGGATGGTGCTGCAGAGGGCCATGGTGACCGTGCGGCGCGACCCCACCATGCTGGTCTCCGTGGTGCGCGTCATCGAGCGGGAGGAGAAGATCGACCGCCGCATGCTGGACCGCAAGAAGCAGACGGGCTTCATCCCGTCCGGCCGGCCCAAGAATTGGAAGCAGAAGATGTTCGAGGTGCTGGAGGGGACTGTGAGCACCCGGATCGAGGGCACCCAGTCGGACACCCGCGAGTCCGACAAGATGTGGCTGGTGCGGCTCCTGGAGATCACCCGCAAGTACGTGCTGGACGACCTCGTCGTGGTGAAGAACCTGATGGTCCAGTGCTTCCCGCCGCACTACGGCATCTTCGGCGTCTTCTTCACCCTGTACCACCGGGCCGTGTCCGCCAGGGTGCAGGAGCTGGCCGCGGAGGACCTGGAGGCCAACGAGATCGTCTCCCTCCTGACCTGGGTGCTCAACACCTACAAAAGGTACGGCAGGCGGTTTGGAGGGGGCCTTCGCCCCCCCCACCTCCGATAACTGATCCTCTCCGTGTGTCTGGCGTTCTGGCACTGCGAGCCCGGGCAGGCTGGCAACTAGGTTGAATGACCCAGAATCGCTGCTTCTGGGGAAAAAGGATCGTTTGTTTTCGATTCCTGCAGTGTCACTTTAATTGGGAGGCCAGCTTCTTCTGACTTACTGCTTTGTAAGTGATTCGCTTGGCTATCCGAGCAAGCAGTCATTCCCTGCGGCGTCCTGTTGGCCATGTAATCGTGTGTAAAATATTACAGTGTTAAAGACGGCCACAGTGCGCAGTCCAGATTTTTGTTTCGTGGCTCTCTAGGGCCAATGTCCGCAGGGTTCCGCGAAAACGCAGCTGTTTTGTCTTTCACTGTCATTCCAGTAGTGTAAAGGCACCAGCCAGACCATAAATAACCATGAATACAGGCAGCGAAAATGAATGTCGTGTTATTGTAGATGTCAGTTTTCCGCTCTGCTGCACGCGTGTTGTAATGTTGACCCACGTGAACGGTGAAGAGTGGTTGTCACAGTATTTAAATGCGATGGATCCCTAGCAATTGCAGGTACTACTTGGCACACAATTCCAGAAAAACTAGTTTATCTAATCCAATAGACACACGCATTGTTGCACATCGCGTGCACAGAGACGGATTACGCTAAAAAAAGATATTTTTATAACAACAGCACGAGGCGTCTTTGTTTGCATTAAACAAGGCAACACATTTATTACACACTGGTTCTGTTTCTGCCCTTTTGTTCGCTGAAAACGTGGCTGCCGAGGCACTGCGGATTGGTTTACATTCATTCATTGGGCAAATATTCCCTGTGGGGAATTAGTCAAGTCTGTTTCAAATCATTTTCACTTTGTTAAAAAGAAAACAACCCCCGATAATGCTTACTGTAAGGTCTGTGTGATAGACATGAATATTTGTGTTTCTTTTTCATATTTTTGAAATTACTGCCCCTGAGCTCTTCATACAGAACGGCCCTGGCTGAGGAGCTTAGGAGGGAGAAGGTTTTAGGACATATTGTCATTTTGGGTGTCATGTTATAGGATACTTAGCACACCAGTACTGTACAGGCTTTGAAGGAGGGTGATATTTACTTGGAACAGCAACAGTAATATCCCTCTTGCATTTTTTCCCGTGGTAAGACCCGGTTTGTGACTAAAAATATTTTCTTTTTTAAATAGTAGCAAAGGAAAAAGATCCCCTCACAAACGAGTCTCTCTCCACAGTAGGTCGTTTCTGGTTTGTCTGTCAGGCCTCCATGTTGAAACTGTGCTCGGGCGAAGGTTTTGTGACTGCTGCGCCGATGATGGTGTCAGCTGAGATTGGACACGAGGCCGCCAAATTCCTGGAGAGACCCTGGCTCGTGCCGCAGTGGCCTTGGCAGCCGTCTCCCAAGGGAGGGCAAGCTGTGGGATCATTTTCCCCGCGCGTGAGAGGCCAAGAAAAAATCCCCCCGCCGGCAGGAAACACTTGGAGGCCAGCAGCAGCCCGTCCGAGCTCTGGGCTCTCCCTTGGTCCGCGTTGGCTCCGAATGCAGAAGTGAAGCGCTGATCTCCGTGAGAGGCTGCGGTTCTTAGTTTCCCCAGCGCGTGGGGGAAAAAGCTGACATCCTCATCCCGGTTGTGTTCCTGCAGCGTGGATATGATGGGGCACCCCGAGCTGCTGGCGGAGGTGGACATCAATAGGCTGGACCCGCTTCTTCCTCAGAACGTGGTGCAGGAGCTGCTGGGCACATACATCCAGACCTTCACCGTGAGTTCACTGCCGTGCCTCGGTCGGCCTTTGGCTGCTGAGGGAGCCAGGTGATGCTGGAGATCTGCCCCCCCCCTGGGCCGTGCAGCGCGTGTGGCCTCAGCTGTGGAGGAGGAGGCCAGTCAAGCAGGTGCAGGAGCCATAGTTTCGCCCTCTTCCCTGGCTGTTGTTCTGCCCAGCACCACTCGAGCTGGGCGGAAGGACAGGGAAGATGCTGGTTAAACTCACTGGATACAGGCTCTACCCTGAAGTCACTCTTTCCTCGGTCAGTGTTTGATTGAAGTGCAGTAAGAAGCAGGCAGCCCAGTCTGAGCTTCCGCTGGCAGCAGGGAGTTTGAAGGCGGATTTTAGTTCATTGGATCACCGCCGTCGTGCTGTACAAGCCGGCCGCGTGCATGTTCTGTAGCAGGAGGCCTCAAGTTTCCTTTTCCATCTCACGTCAAACATGAGGTATGGTTCCTGCCTGTAGTGTATCTCGCTGTTGACTGCCATTGTGTCCTTAGCGACACCTGAATAAATGGTAAAACAGTAAGAAAATAGATAGAAGCCGTTGAATATTGTGTCTAAATGTGACACTGAAAGTGAAGTTGAAATTGTTCTCTCCAAAACGTTTGTGTTCTTGTATCTGCTAGGCCGCCATTCGGAATTGGTTGCTCCTGAGTGTTTTCAATTCAGAATGGTGACATTTTGTCATGCTAAGGAAGAACGTTACAGATCGAAGCACACGGGTTCATCAGCCTGTGTTTTATACAGTGCCTTTTAGCACGTAGTGGAAGTGAATATGGTGAAATTTGAACCTTGCTTTCTATTTCGGACGAGGCTGTGATTTCTCGCAAGTCAGTCTCTTAGGTAGTGGCCTTACTGTACGTTCTGCGCTACTTCTGCGGATCCATCAGCTGTGGACACAAGGCACGCCTCCATCAACCTCTTACTGCGTCTTCTGCAGCCATTCCTAAGGGGGCTGCAAATGAGAGGTTCAGATTTCCACACTAATCCTCAAACCTTGCGCTGCTGTTCTGAAGATCCGGGTTTTTTTTTTCGGAGAGCTTGATCGCATAAAGCAGGAAGAGCTTGCTTGCCGCCGTTCTTCCCAAAAAGGACCCCCGCATGTGACACTCCTCCTTCAGCCTGCTCCTTGAAGTGGGATTTGTGAGTCTGCAAGGAGCTTTTCGACATTTTTATATATAAATGTTCAGAGGGGAGGATAATGCACTCCCTCACATTTTATGTAGTAGAATTATTGCCTTCTTCTATCTTTCCAGAGTCTTTCCAGAAGTCTGGAAGGCTGTTGAAGATTTTTTTTCAATCTCATCCTTGATCACTTTTCACTTTTTTTTTTTCTTCTGGAATGTTAATGATGCCACCAAGCAGGTATCTGCGGGTGGCGTTATCTGGATAGGACTCTGGGCAACAATTAAATCATGCCTTATATACCTTCCTGGCTGAAAATCTCAGGGTTTGTATTTCTGTGACCTGTCAGTAACTAGGGATATCAAAACAACTGCAGGCCGACACACAGTTACAATGTTATGACAAATTGCGCTTTAATTGTCTGTTTTTTGACAATTGACATCTCATTGTTTGTGTGTCCCTTTCCGTGACGGTCCCTGCCCTTCCCTAGGGCGGTCTTGAGGACCTGCCGCATAAAAACCCACAATAACAAGTCGAAGCACGTGAAGGAGACCTGCAGGCTTTTTCCAGGCTTGCAACAAAAAATATTTAGAAACCCCTGCCCCCCCTCTCATACCGTGCACATCCTTTTTATGCTAAAGAAAACCACTCAATGCACCCATTTGAGTGTGTGAACAAAATGCCGTCCACCAGAAATCTAATTGACAGATAAGTGCCCGGTGAGTCTATTTACAGCAGTCAGAGGCTCTTTGGCGACCTCTGTTGACAGTGCAGCTGTAATTGCACCCTGCGTCATTTGTGACACTAGCTATGCCTTCTTTTTTATACTTTTATGAAGCATTGCATTGTGAGGGATCTTAGTATCTCCATTGAAATGGTTTTCCAGGATCTGTGTATTAAACAGTGGTTTCATTTCCTGGCCCTAACAAATTTCAGGTAACCAGAACAGTGGACAGTTCTGGTAGAATTGTCATTTGGAGGGGTGACATAAATATTGATGTCCTGAACTAGCAGTTAACCTTTGGCGCAATAGTGCAGCCCCCTGAGGAGCGAAGTTAGTAGCAGGACTACAGAGTCTCAGCAGGGTTACTCGTGTATGTGAGAAACAGAATATAAGAAAGGTTGGAAATGAGTGGAGGCCGTTCAGCCCGTCTTGCTTGCTTGCTTGGTTGCTAGTAGTTGGGTTCAACATGTCCGTCTCCCTGACTCTTGATGGGATCTCACAAAGTCCACGTCAGCTGCATGACTGGTGGACTGGCTCCAGTCTTGACTGGCAGGGAGGTTTCTTCACGGGCGGTCTCAGTCCTGCCTCAGCCCTGGGCAGTGCTCGGAGGAATATATGCAGTACGTGCTCTGGATGCATGTGGTTGATGCAGTCTACCCAAGCCCTCGTCTGTTTCTTGTTCCATACTTTGCCGTTTTACTTAAATCCTGGTCCTTGTATGGCAGCTGATGTCAAAGACGTCCCCCGAGTCTGGTCCGCATCTCCAGCTTTTGTGACGGTCTCAGTCGGGTGCCGACCAAGGCTGAACTGGTTCCATTCAGTCCATTCAGGCTGGCAGGCTATGAAGTGGTTTGCTGGCTTCCCGCCCTTTGACCTCGGCCCACTCTCGCTCCCTTCACAGTCGAATATCACCGGCTGGCTTCGCAAGGCGCTGGAGACGGACAAGAAGGACTGGAAGAAGGAGACCGAGCCCGAAGCTGACCAGGATGGCTACTATCAGACCACTCTGCCTGCCATCGTGTTCCAGGTGACTCCCCTCTCCTTGTCGAGCCTGGCGCGCTGCTTCTCCGAGTCCTGTGCGTCCTGGGCGGGATGCAGAGGAAAGTTTTATATGCCTTGTGTACCTCAGTCACCCCTACATTATGGGCTGTTATTAATAATCTGTTACCAGTGGTAAGTTTGCATGGTGGTTTACTGTAGCTCTTACAGTTGGCACCAGTTGACCTTGGTTTTTAATTGACTCTAACTCTGCACAGCTCACACTGGGAATCCATCCTCCAAGGATGGATCCTGATATTTTCATGGTGGTATCTACAGCAATAGCAGAGTAAAGAGTAAGCCACAAGTACAGTGAAAGCAAGTTGTAATATGAGAAGGGAAATTGCAGTTTGAGTACCAAATAACCGTCCAAGATAGCTACGTAGAGTCATGCGCTGTAGAGACACTGTGTTTGGCGTCCAGTTGAGATGCAGTTTAGGTTTGTCTGACGTAAAGCACGCTGTCTGCTGAAGGGTGGAGCAACACATTCTGGGCTCTTCCTTTTCCTGAAGCATTTTATAGGCACCCCTGCCTCGCCCAGGGCAGCCGATAAGCCTGACTGCATGAGCTCGACTTAAAGCAAGCAAATCAGTGACACCCGGAATGGGTGCAGCTCACATGGGTATCTGTGGGAAGAACGGTCACAAATGAAGTTAGTGGTTCATTGATCCCAGGATCTCATCCAGCTGTTTCTTGGAAGAAGCCAGGATATCAGCTTCACAGCAACGTGGCTGGGTTCAAGGAAGGCTCTCGTGTTTCTAGAGCCTTTAATGTAGAGGGAGCTGGACCAGAAGTACACCTTGTCGACATTCAAATAGTTCAATTTCAGAAAGCCCCCCCTTCTTTGTGTTTCTTACTGTTCCCCCCAATCTGCTGGGCAGTGGGGCTGCCTGGCGTCACCCAGGTGGGGCTGCTCTTCAGTGGAGAGGGACCTGAGCCCCTCCTCTAGGTAGACCGTTCTGATGTAACTGCTAAATGCAAGATGTAAATGCTAGTGGTAGCGTCCCTGTATTTAAATCTGAGTACGCCTGCTGCAATTACAGTGAAGGCTCGGCGCCGTTCGTGATGCAAATGCAGTTTGTAATCGCGTCAGTTGGGGCGGTCTCTGCCCCTAAGCGCGGATCAACATTTCGAAACGCGGAGGTCCCGGTCGCTCTGCCTAACGGGTGCCGTTCTGCCGATGTGCCCAGATGTTCGAGCAGAATCTGCAAGTGGCCGCCCAGATCAACGAGGCGTTCAAGGAGGAGGTGCTGCGGTTGTGCCTGAAGCAGATGAACTCCTTCCTCTTCAGGTGAGGCCCGACTGTACTGTCCACCCCTCCCC